TATTGGAAGTTCCATTGTTGGTTAAATTGCATCGATATCATAATTTGTGTTTTGATGTTCAAATGTAGTTTAGGAATGACCTTATAGATTCATTTTGAACATAGACATTAGGTGGCATGACCCACACTTGTTGTTTTCGTATTTTGGATTTCAAGTTGAAGACTTTGAGAATTTATATCTTGTTGCCTTGTATAACATGTTTCCATATTGTTTCAATTGCATGAACAATTTGATTATGATATAAATGATCTAGGTAGCTTAAGATGCTCCCTAGGTCTCATCTTGACATAGACGTTAGGTGGCATGAGCCCTTTTAACATGTTTCACCATAAGGTGATAAAATTGTAAAATGCTAGGTCGATGCATGGTCATCTCTATGAGTAGCTTTATGTTACTCACCCCTACGATATTGGGGCATATTTCAGGTACATGACTCAGGATTTGAAGATTCCATTGCTCCTTGGATGGCTTACAGTTTCTATTTTATGCAAGTGTTAGCATAAGATGCCTCTTTGTAGCCCTATTTGTTTAAACTTGTATTCGTTGATTCGTATATGTAAAGTGTACGTAAGTGCACTATTTTCAATGTATTTAACATGTATGAGATGAGGCCGGTGGCCAATGACATGTATCTCGTTTTCTATGCACTTTTGTTTTCAAAGTTTATTATGAAAATATTGGAAAATGTTAAGTCATTGCTTCATAACTTTCCATCGGGTGTTGGAATTTCATATCTTTTATGCCCGGATTCAGAATCAGACGATTCTTGAGTCTAATTTTGTTCATTTTTCGTTGTCCTTCCAATGGTGTGCACGGTGGCACCCTTTTCAGTGAGAAATGACCATTTTACCCTTAGTTCATCTCTTTTCAGGTTAGGGATTCTTGCTTCATTTGCTTGGCTCATTTGAGTTCCGTGGCTTCATGGAGAGTCATTTTTGGGCCTTAGGGATGATGTACATCTCTTGAGGTCATTTGGTTTCTTTCACTTCCGCATTTTGGGTATGTTATCAGGTCAACTTTCGGTTCATTACTAACGCACTGGGTTGAGAAATCCGGGTCGGTACAAAACATCTCCTAAATGACATGGTCTTAGGAGTTTTAAATATCTCTTTTTAGTTGGACACGACATGAACATGGTTAATGATGTGTGGATGACACTTATACAAAACACTTACATAATTTTCAATATAAATTTATAACATAAAATGAGTTAATTAAAAAAATATAGGAATAATTTAATAAATGACAACTTATTTTTGTGGTATTACAAGTACAACCATGTCTAAAAAAAAATGGATGAATAATGTCACTTTAACAAAGTGTATTACAAATATGACAACTTTACACTAATAATCTCTTATTTGACAAACACATATACATTTGGGGTCCAAATTACCCCTCATTTATAATTTTAATTACCTCTTCCTTAAAATCATGAACCACCACCACCATCCACAACTATCATCTCTGGCGAACCACCGCCACTCCTTACTCACTTTCTCTCTCTAATATAGACACAACAAATCCCATCATATATATATATATATATAACATCAACCCACCACCATCACAAAAAGACAATTTATATACAACTGCCTGAAGATAATCCTAAATCAAATCTGGTGGGTTTATGGTCACTTACAGGTAGTAAACAATATAAGTAATATTTATTTAAAATATCATATATAGTGTATGAATTGGAAAAAAACATTACAATCACAAATGCCACAATACTAATCAATAAAATAAAAAAGACACTACAATCATACAAAACACCACACCCCAATCCTTGCCTTGTCAAAATTGGAAAGTGATGTGTTTGTTTCTAAGCTTTGTTATTAGTGGGTTTGTTGAGAAGGGTAATGGGCGTCTGAATATGAGGTGAGATTGAAGTAGGTGGGCATGGAGGGTGATGGGTTAGGTTCTTTAGATCTGTAGATAGAGATCAATTGTTCCCAATTTCATCAACTTAGTCAAGTTTCCATGAGTTAACTCACTATCCATAACTCGTTATCTTTTCTTTCCGCCGTTTTCTTCAGGAAAGAAGATCCACCACAAAAGGTGAAAACCATGGAATAGCTCCTCTGTTACGTTTCTTCTTCCCTCTTCCCTTTTCCCTTCTTTCGCCACCACCATTGTGCACTCCCCAATTTCCAGCCACGGGTTAATCAGGTCCTCACCCGAAGACCAGGAGATATCAAACAATTAATATTTAAAATAAGTACAGAATACAAGAGGATAAATAATAAAATAAATAATAACGCTAAAAGAAAAAATTAAAATAATAATTAATAGTCATTAACTCCCTTAATACCAAAACTCTAACAAATCCAATAATAAATGAATCTCCATAATACAACTCGGGAATCCGTTTATCATGGACCCCTACTAAAAATCTCATAACTGAAATCATAATGTCTATGTCAACTAAATAAATAAATAAAGATGATGTCCTACGTTAATGACTCTGGAAGAATGAATATGGATTCTCTCTGATTAGCACGAAGTACGAACAATATCTAAGTCTGGAATTGACGTAAACCTGAAAATAAAAGTGTGGGTCAAACCTACAAACACGTTATTTCTACTACAACACAATCAAAGAATTGATAAACGACACACCCCTATTCAACTCATGCAATATCTATATATTTGATACATCTATATATACACACTAAAACTCTCACTGAACTATAGGGCAGTCTCAACCGGATAATGGGTATCTCATAAAAAATCGCATATAAGATGGTCAAGAGTCCCCCTATTCCAGGGCCCATACATCTTCTATATCCAACTACCATCTTCGGTAATATACGCCTTAATCCTAACCGCTGATCTCGAAACCTCAAACTCGTATCATAGCTCACATATGAATATATAATAATACATCAAATAAGCCATATGTAACAATGACACAATGTAGAATGTATTGACTTATTAGCGAGCCCACCTATTCATCAAATCATCAGACCATATCTAACAATGATGCAAAATATAACGAGTCTAACTTATTAGCTATCTCAATGATCTCGTTATAAATATACGCTAAATGCATCAAACTATATCAAACAATGGTAAACCATAAAATATAACCATGGATCATACTTATAGATCACAATTTCAGCAAGTAATATGATTAAAATCATAAATCATGCTAATACATTTAATTACAAAAAATTTAATGTCTCAAAAGATCAATCTATAACTTAATAGTTATTCAAATATCGAATCATAAAAGCATAATTGTATTATATGCAATTTAAATCATATAACACTTTTCCTGATACTTTAAAAATATGTTCGGGACCTTTATAAATCAATTTGGGGCCATTTAGAACACTTTTGGGGCAAATCAGGTGTACAGTGCTCAAGCACAACCTTACTATGCATGAGCATTGTCCAATAGTGCACTGTTTCACGGATTTGATAGTACTCGAGCACTAGTTCGTAAAACCAACTCGGTATGTCTGTTTCAAGTATGAAAATCCATCTTATTGGTCCTAAATCATGCATCTAAATCCCAAATTGATTTCCATAATTTATATGCATCATAAATACACATTCTAAACAATTAAAAACATAATTTAACACATTGAATTGCAAGATCAAACATTATATATACACCTATACGTATATACATATATATAACAATTTCAGGCCAAATTAATCACATCAATTAATTGGATTAAATTCATCTTTCTTAATCCATAAAGTCTAGCAAAGGGTGCAGAATTTATAAGAACTAAGGGGAGGAGTAGAATAAATAACTTGCCTTAGGGTTTTTGGATAAAAAAACCAACTATACCAACTCTGGTCTTTTTCTCAAATTCCGGCAACGTACATTTTCGGTTGTCTTCTTCTTTCTTTCTCTCCTTGTGCCACAACCCCTTTTATTCTTCTCTCAAAACTCACGTATCAACAAAACCCCTATATTGTAACTAACATACATATATATAAGCTACCCAAAACTATAACCCTAACCCTTCTTACATTAGGATAACTAAAAAGAATTAAACTAATAATAATAACAATAACAATGATGATAATAATAATAATAATAACACACACACACACACACACAATATATATATATATATATATATATATATATATATATATATATATATATATATAAAATAAAATAAACAAACAATCAACCAATTAAATCAATTAAACAATTACTCACACAAATAACAATTAAGCAATTTAATCAAGACCCATAATTAAAATAACAAATAAGGTCACATAAATCAATTAAAACAATTAAATTGAATAAAATAAAGGCTCCGAAAATTAGGGATATTACAACCATCACTGTCGAACTTCATGTTAACATCAACACCAACACAAACACCATGGACACCGATGATCACTAGTTCTGGCACCGCTCAATAGCGGGTGAGTGGTGGTTGAGGAGTGGTGATGTGGCAATGGTGGTGGTTGGTGGTTAGTGTGGTTGTGGTGTGTGGTGGGGGTGGTAGTTGGTTGAAATGGCGACGACAAGTGGGTAATGGGTAATGGTGATACTGGTGGGCGGTTGGAGTGACAGAGGGTGACGGTGGAGCATGGTGGTGGTGGTGGTGGTGGTAGTGGTAGGGAGATCACAATGAGAGATAATTGGAGGCTTTTAAAAGGTTTGAGAGGGCATTTTGGACAAAAGCAATACATTTATCGGATCGGTAATTAGTTTATTTTATTAACTCTTTTATTCACATACTATTTAAATACGGTCATATTTGTAATGTAGTCATTGTAACTAGTCATCTATTCAATTATGATTTTAAAAAGTTGAATCTATTAAAAAATATCATTTCTTAAAATAAAAATATTAAGGGCTAATGATAAAAGCAAAAAAAAGGTACAAGGCTCGAGATCAACCGAGATAAACCTAACAACTCGAACAACAACATTTGCGGTAAGGTGAAGCTTAGACTAATAATAATTCAAGAGTCAAATAAACAATTGAAAACAAAATCACAAGAATGATGGAGATTTACAAATTTACTCCTCTTCCCTAAACTAGTGCCCACTTTGGCGCTTGTTTCATTGTGTTCCAACTTTCCCTCCACGCCAAACCACAGCCGTCACACGCCCCCCCTCCCTCCTTCTCTCTCTCTCCAAACCAAACCCTGAAAACAGTAAGCAAACCCCAAAATACATGTTATCTATTTCAAGAATGAAATCACTTCTCTCTCCAACTCTCTCAACCTATGCTCCAAAGTTCTCCAAAACCCCACCTTTGTCTCCCTATTTTCAAAACGCTGCTCAGTCCATTCGATGGAATTTTCGGGCCTCCAAAACCCTTAATTTTCTTCATATAAAACCTGTAATGTCTTCGCTCAATTCCTCCGCTTCCTCAAACCCCACTGGAGGTCGCACTCTACAAACGGAAGCGTCTCAGTCACGTTCCGGCGAAATTCACGTGATCGTTGGCCCCATGTTTGCCGGCAAAACCACCACTCTCCTCCGCCGGGTCAAATCCGAGTGTACTGCTGGCAGGTTTGTCCTTTTTTCTTGATTATTTATTTATTTATTATTATTTTTTTTTATGTTTGGTCAGAATTAATTTCAGGCGTTTCGCTTGTAATTAATGCTGTTTTATGGATGCAGAAGTATTATTTTGTGCCAAAATGCTAATTATATCAGATTCATTTGTGATAATAGAATTGAGAATTCAATATACTTGATGTGGGTACACAATTTTGTTTCAGATCAACTTTCATTGTTTCTTAGCTGACTTAGGGCTTTGGTTTGTATGATGTTTGAGTGATAATTTGAGAGTTTCAAATATCACCCATTATTTTGTTGGGTGCGTTGTTGGTCCATAGGACGAAAGAAATATAACTTCATTAACTACTTTTCTTGTGTTTATATTGAAATTTTCTTATTCATTGTAGTTGTCCCCGTGCAACACATATGCTTGCAATATCATTCTTATTAGTTCATATCCCACTATTTCAACTTATCAGTTTTAAATTTCTTCTCTATTTAACGGACTAAATTCCCCTGTATTTCTATTCCATCGTTTGAATACAATCATCATTGGTGAGATTTTACCAGTTTACAGGCCAAGGTCTCCAAGAACTTTGTCCATTTGGATGAAACATTAAAAAGTCTTTGTTTTCGGGGTAGATTGACGGAAGCAATTCGGATATTGTGCTGTACAGGATTTCAAGTGTACCCAGAGACATATTCTCTTCTTTTGCAAGAATGCATATCTGTGAAAGATTATAAGAAGGGCAGAAGAATTCATGCACAAATGATTAGTGTTGGTTTTGTTCCAAATGAATATTTGAAGATCAAATTATTGATTTTGTATGCAAAAGCAGGGGATCTAGAAACTGCACACGTTCTGTTTGAGAAATTGCTGAAGAAAACCTTGATTTCGTGGAATGCAATGATTGCAGGATATGTGCAAAAGGGGCTTGCAGAAGTGGGCTTGAGTCTTTATTACAAGATGAGACAGAATGGTTTAACACCAGATCAGTACAGCTTTGCATCTGTCTTTAGAGCCTGCGCCACTTTAGCAACACTAGAGCAAGGGAAGCAAGCCCATGGCGTCATGATAAAGGGCCAGCTTAGTGAAAATGTTGTAGTTAATAGTGCCCTCATGGATATGTACTTTAAATGCAGCAGTCCCTGTGATGGGCATCTAGTTTTTGATAAATCTTTGGATAGGAATGTGATTACATGGACAGCTTTGATATCTGGTTATGGCCAGAATGGAAGAGTAGTTGAGGTTTTAGAATTGTTTCACAGGATGGTTAGCGAAGGTTTCACACCAAACTACGTTACTTTTCTTGCAGTTCTTTCTGCTTGTAGCCATCGAGGTTTGGTCAATGAGGGCTGGGAATATTTCTCATCAATGACGAGAGATTATGGTATTCAGCCAAGAGGAAAACATTATGCAGCTATGGTTGATCTTTTTGGGCGTGCTGGGAGGTTAGAAGAAGCATATGAGTTTGCTCAAAACTCACCTTGTGTGGAACACTCAGTGGTATGGGGTGCTCTGCTTGGGGCTTGTAGGATTCATGGAAACATGGAAATGTTAAAGCTTGCCGCAAGGAAATTCTTTGAACTGGAACCAGGAAATGTTGGGAAGTATGTTGTTTTATGTAATGCTTATGCCGCTTCTGGTTTGTGGGACAATGTTGCAGAGATTAGAAGGGCGATGAAGGAATCAGGGATGAAAAAGGATACTGGTTATAGCATCATTGAGGTCCAAAGAGAGGTCCACTTCTTTTTCATGGGGCATAATTCTCACAAACAAACGGAGCAGATATATGAGTTGATCAAAGATATGATTTGCATTTTAAAAGATGCTGGCTATGTTCATGATTTAAGTGGTTGATGATGAGAGAAGAAAAGTTTCTCATGGCTATTAATTTAACTTGTAGAATGCGGCTTGATTCTTCCTTTTAGCAAAAGGGTACTGGTTTCTTGGGAGCTTCAGGAGACCCACCTTTATTTCTAATGTTGTATGGCAAGAGCTCTTATAGTTATAGCACATCAGGCACATTGTGTTATGGACCTACTCATCCATTGGGGTGATTATCTCCCAAAAAATTTATATTTATTATATCCTTTGACAACTTATAATAATAAAGTTTGGCGGATACAAATTGTGAATATCTACTTGGCTACCTCTGTTCACAACAGGGATACTGGTTCTTTTTCAATGAGGAAATAAATTCTTATTCATAGAAGAAAGTTGCCCGGAAATTGGTAATTGCGTGTCCTCCTGACGTTTGACTTCAGAGTTCTCAAATATCAAATATTACAAGTGGATTAGAGGGTCTTTCTGATATTTCTTGTACCAGGTATGATGAAGGTGACAAAGAGAAAGTCTGGGCATGCACAACCTCTCCTAGAACATTTTTTTATGTTATCCAAAATAATTGTTTGGCAGAATCTTCTTGGCATTGGTACACTTGCATGAGGGACATACTCGGTGGAGCTTTGGAGGAATTTATTTATTTAATTATTTTTGGGGTAAGTAGTTTAATACCAAGAAAGGTAAAAATTGTTCTCCAATTAGAATATTTGGGCTACGACTACATCTGTTAAGGAGGACACTTCCAGCCACCTAGTCAAGTTAATGTTTGTGGCTCAATCATTATTGTAATTATGATTTTCCATCCATTTAAAGGGTACCGGATTGGATCCCTTACCACATCAGGTCTAGAAGCATGCAGGGTTGGAGCTTTTGTTGGCAATTACTGCTCTATTATCAAATTTTGTCTCAGAATTAGGTTTGGTCTTGATTTAAGTTCCCTTTTTTTGGGAGTGGGGGAAGGTGGGTTTAACCTGGCTCCAAGATTTAACTATCCTTTTACTGCTTTTTCTGGGAACCTTTTTTTTCTTTTTCAAATAGGTGCTGCTTTTGTTAGACAGAATGATATCCATATCTTGTTTACATGTATCCTTTATTGTGTGAAACATTTGTTTTAAGCCAATTACCAATAATTGCATGATACCAGCACCAAATATTCAGTTTCGTTGGAGAAACTGGAGAACTGTAGTTAAAATAGAATTAATTGTTTGGAAACAAAATTAAACATCATTAAAAATTTATCCTGTTATTTTAGCTTACTTTTTCTGTGCTTATCTTATGCAGAAGTGTAGCAATAATAAAATCAAACAAGGATACAAGATATGGATTGGATTCCATTGTGACGCATGATGGAGTCAAATTTCCATGTTGGCCGTTGTCAGATTTGTCATCTTTCAGACAAAAGTTTGGTCCTGATGCTTATGATAAGGTATTTCAATGCCTAAATTTGGTGATATGTAAGTCATACTCTATACGGAGATATCGGTATGCATTTGTTAGTTGTTATATTTGTTTACTTGAAAGTTGGTAATGGCTTATTATTATTATTTTTTGGTGTGTGTGTATGTATGGTATATCAACTGTGTAATTTGCATCTGTAAATTAAAGGGGAAATTCATATTCTTATAAAAAAAGGGCTGTTAATATTTTTTTTCTTCTTTAGTCTTATTTGTATTTGCGCTGTCATTCTTGGCATTTTTGCTGTAAGTCTTCCTTATCTCTCCTGTGTTCTGTAATTTTGACTGGCAGCTAGATGTGATTGGTATTGATGAAGCTCAATTCTTTGATGACTTGTATGATTTCTGCCGTAAAGCTGCTGACCATGATGGCAAAACTGTTATAGTTGCTGGACTTGATGGTGACTATTTGAGGTATTATTCAATATATGTTGATACTATCAAATGATTATGCTTGATAGTTGCTTTGGTGGAGCAAAGTTTTGCTCGGTACTTGATTTATTCTTGGATATGACATCCCACGTATCATTCATCGGGAATTCTACGTCCTTTCATTTCATTATCAGTACCTTCTCTTTTTCAAAAATTTTGTCTACTACTCTTTGATAGTGAACTCTATTATTGTTGGCAGAAGGAGCTTTGGTTCTGTACTTGATATCATTCCGCTTGCTGATTCAGTAAATAAGTTGACTGCTCGATGTGAGCTATGTGGAAAGCGTGCTTTTTTTACCTTAAGGAAGACGGAGCAGACACAGACAGAACTGATCGGTGGAGCTGATGTATACATGCCTGTTTGTCGGAAGCACTATGTTGGTGGACAGGTTGTCGCAGAGGCTGCAAGAATTGTCTTAGAATCTCAGAAGGTTCAGTGTGGTTAATATCGGTGGCTTCACCTATCTTGTTCTTCTGATATCTGGCTCTTCCTAACACAATCCAGTTGATATTGCATCTTGGCTTTGAGTTCTGTTCAAGATGTTGATACTGGATTTTGGCTGGTTTAAGAATTTTAATTTTTCTCTTCCCCTATTTAACCATGTACAATTATTTATACATTTTGGGAAGAAAAAAAATTGACGTAAAAGTAAAATTTTAAAACATTTGTGGTTTAACACTGATCTGGATAGACTAAAAAGGATGAGCACAATCAGTAAATCAGACTCTCTATGTTGGGCATTTTATCTGTTTACATTAGCATGGTTCTATTGTATCTGTTTGTACTGGGTACTTCCAGGAGAAAAAATCAATGGTATTCTTGCCCCCGTGTTGCTGTTGTTTATTCATACTAGTGATGGATGAGAAGAAAGAAATACTTAGCAGCATATTGAATTTTGACAAGGACATAATGAAGGTCTCAGTGTCATCCCTGGCGAGGGTGCCTATAACTTTGAAGCAGGGTTTGATCTAGAAATGCTGGGCATACTTGTGTTAGGTCAGTGGCAAAGTGGTAGGCTTTTCTAGGAATTTCTTTAGGTTGAATTGATCTTCCTTCAACAGATTCAAAGGGGTGTGGCCAATATTGCAGGTGGCTGGTCCTCCATACTGCATATATATGGTTCAAATGATCAGTGGCAGCAGTAATTTCTCTTAAGGTTTTGTTTGGATGGTTTCATTGCAGAAGACAATACTGCATATATATATATATATATATTAATCATTTTATTTGCAAGTATGCAGGTTTGTGAGATGTGCTACCTTCTGCAAGTAACTTTTAGAGAAACCAATTTCTTGCTTCTTTTGTCATATTACTTAACTATATGGAATACAATTCTTTACATGTCGCTTGAATTCATGGAAGAAGGTGATTGTATTGTTCATATGGTAAGGCAGAACAGTGGTATTATCTTTCGGTGGGTTGATTTGTTGCTTTTATTTTGAAGTGAAACCCTTTTCCCCCTCAAATATTTTTCATGTTAATGCTTTTAACTGATTTTCAGAAGAAATTTTTTTTTACATGTAAAATACATTTTTCTCTTTCTTATATATTAGCGTCAAATATATATACTTGTGATTGATTATGTTGTCGGGTAAGAATGACAATAGGGTAAGTTTGGGTTCCCCATCTCTGTTTCCATCAGTATAGCATTTTCCATCCCCTCATTTAAAATTTTCTACTCTGTTTTCACCCTGTCTCACTTAATTTTTTATATTTTTTTTAATAAAAAATTCAGCTTAACATAATAAAAAACTGAAATATGCTATATTTGATAAAAAAAATTCTCAAATATGATATTCTTTTTGATAAAAAAATATCATGATAATTTCGTAACATAAATGGAGTGGGTGGTTACGTCCCCCATCCAAAATTCTCATTAGTTTATACTCCACACCCTCTTCCGTCTTGTTCCATTTCCAACTTGCTGGTAGGCTCATCTACAAAGTGACTTGTGACAGTGGAACACATAAGTGACATTTCATTTTTAACCCAAAAAGTATTTCACAAATTTTAAAAGGGAACATCAGAAAATGATAAAATGAGTTTTTTTTCTTCAAAAAATCATTTTATGACCGAACAAATGGTACATGATACAATCGCATTGAGACTCTATTAATGTCGCGTGAACAAAGAACATGTATCACTATATCTGTATATATAAATTTTTATCCTCAAGCAAGTAGTTAAATTTAATTTAAAAAGTGAGATCCATCATTTGGGAGGAAGATATAAATGATTTACAAATTACAATACGAAAAAAAAAAAAATGAAAAAAGAAAAGAAAAGATATGAATACTAATTTATATATTTCCATGAACCAGATCCGTTTACGATAACTCCGTCACTGGCTAGGACTTGGTTAAGGAATAAGATTAAACCAAATCCAAACTGGAAGAGATCCCTCTGTACAGTCAAAGCCAAACACTCCTATTATATCATCTCTCACTTCTCGTCTCTCTCTCAAATCCACACAGATACGGTGATATGTTGCGCGTGTTTTTATATATACAGTCCTCTTCCATTGAGGTAAGTCTTAAATATCATTTCTTCTCATACTTTCTTCTTTCTTCTATTTGGCTGTTTTTATGATATATAGCATATTAACGCATATTTGTATCTACATAACTCATTTTTGTTTCACTATGGTAATTTTGCAGCTCAAATCAGCCCAAACGGGTTGAATCAGTTAAGAAATTTCCAGTTTATGTACTGATAATGGCCATTTTGCTCTATTCTGACCTACCTGTTTGAAGTTATGCTTAAAAGATTACAACTTGCTAATCGTGCATGCAGAAATTTGCAGTTTTCTTGCATTAACCCTAGTCATACATTTTGCTCTTCTGGCAAGACCACAAGTTGTGGTGATTCTGTCATTGATGAACATAAGTCAGAGTCTGAGACTGAATGGGAGACATTACTTGCACCCTTTGACCTTGAAAAGCTTCAAAAGTCGCTTAATCGGATTACCCCGTATCAGCTTTGTAAATTGCTCGCGCTCCCTCTTGATGTGCCAACATCAATGGAATTATTTCAGTGGGCAGGTACACAGAAGGGCTATTGTCATTCTTTTGATGTATGTTACACTCTTATAGATAAACTAGGGGCGGTCGGAGAGTTTAAGATCATAGATAGATTATTATTGCAGATGAAAGAAGAAGGGATTGTTTTTAGAGAATCTCTTTTCATATTGATCATGAAATATTACGGGAAAGCTGGTTTGCCTGGGCAAGCAACTAGGTTGCTTTTGGACATGAGGAGTCTTTTCTATTGTGAACCAACATTTAGGTCTTACAATGTTGTATTGGATATACTGGTAACTGGAAATTGTCCTAAAGTTGCCCCAAATGTTTTTTATGAAATGTTGAATAAGGGCATCTCTCCCACCGTATACACTTTTGCCGTGGTAATGAAAGCTCTTTGTTCCATAAATGAGTTGGACTCTGCATGCTCACTCCTTAGAGATATGACAAAACATGGATGTGTGCCAAATTCAGTGGTTTACCAGACTCTGATTCACTCGCTGTCCAAGGTTAATAGAGTGAATGAAGCATTGACACTTTTGGAAGAAATGTTATTGATGGGCTGCAAACCAGACGTCAATACCTTCAATGATGTTATCCATGGTCTTTGCAAGGTTTATCGGATTCACGAGGCTGCAAAGTTGGTTGATCGGATGCTTCTTCGGGGCTTCACTCCTGATGCTATAACTTATGGATTTTTGATGTATGCATTATGCAAAAAAAGACAAATTGATGAAGCAAAGGCACTGTTCGACAAAGTGCCTAACCCGAATATTGTCTTGTTTAATACCTTGATTAATGGATTTGTGACAAATGGACGGTTTGATGAAGCCAAGGCTATTCTGAATAAAAGCATGTTTAATATTGGCTGCAACCCGGATGTTTATACATATAACATACTAATACGCGGTCTCTGTAAAAGGGGACATTTAGTTTCTGCCCGTGAATTGGTGAAAGAGATGGTGTTTATGGGTTGCAAGCCAAATGTGATCACTTATACAATTTTGATTGATGGGTTTTGCAAGCAAGGCCAACTAAAACTAGCTGGTGATGTTGTAGATGAAATGTCAGTGAAAGGACTTAGTCTAAATACAGTAGGATACAATTGTTTAATATCTGCTCTATGCAAGGAGGGGAATGTCCACGAGGCTCTGGAAATGTTTGCCGACATGTCGAGCAAAGGTTGTAAGCCTGACATATTCACATTTAATTCATTGATATTTGGGTTTTGCAAGGTTGATAAGATGGAAGATGCCTTGGGACTTTTTCGAGATATGCTATTGGAGGGTGTTATTGCCAACACTGTCACTTACAACACATTAATTCATGCTTTTCTTAAGAAAGATGAAACCCAAGAAGCAACAAAGCTGGTCAATGATATGCTATTTAGAGGATGCCCACTGGATGACATTACTTATAATAGCCTAATAAAGGCACTCTGCAAGGATGGAGCTGTTGAGAAAGCATTAGGATTCTTTGAGGAAATGATGAGGAAGGGACTTAATCCCAGTAATATATCTTGCAATATTTTAATCAATGGCCTTTGCAGAACTGGAAAAGTGCAAAATGCACTTGAGTTTCTGCGAGATATGATTCATAGAGGATTGACACCAGATGTAGTCACCTATAACAGCCTGATAAATGGTTTATGCAAGGTGGGGCATGTTCGAGAAGCTCTGAACCTCTTTGACAAATTACAAATTGAAGGAATTTGTCCTGATGCCGTCACTTATAACACTTTGATTAGTTCGCAGTGTAAAGTGGGCATGTTTGATGATGCCTATTTACTTCTAAATAGAGGTGTTGCCAATGGGTTTACACCTAATGATGTCACTTGGTATATATTGGTCAGCAATTTTGTTAAAGAGGGTAATGAGGAGAGGTAGACTTCCTAAGCTTCAGTTTAGTAACTTCACTTTGATCAGAAAGTTGCATCAATGGATACATTTGGTTGCCACTTTGGCTGGTCATTGGTTGCCAGGAGTTATTCGTATAAGAATGTATGTAGTCTTGGAGAAGCTGGACTGTTGGTGATCTGGAGATGGTAATGGGCCTGATTTTCATTGGAAAAAGTAAGCACTTCAATATGTTGTATTTTACAGTGCACCTGTCTGAAATGTTCATACCTAGACTTATCAGATGGAATACTATGTTGGCATACTGGGAATAGTGCTGGCTAACTGGTTTGAATCCTTCATGTATGGCTTATCATGGTTAAAGCAGAGCAGAACACTTACCATATTATGGACATGGGATGGAGACATTATTATGACCCTGAATTGAGGTAATCACATTGTGCACTTGCCTTACAATTATTTTACCTATTTATTTCTTTATTTTCATCAAAGTACAACTTGGCAGTGCATCTTCCTATTTCAAGTTTGACATTTATGTACAACAACTTCTGGTTTGCATATATATATCTTGGATTTTCTAGACTATTTGATCCACTAGTCCAGAAATGGTCACTGTTTTTTTTTTTTTTCAAATGCTGTTTTCTGATTGTTATATAATTTTTAATAAATACTCAAGAGCGCTATGCCTTGCACACAGAAGGAAACCAAGTAGATGATCCCATCCACAGTTTTGATTTATGTTGAGTAACAGCTTTGTTGGGTTGACTTGAGCCACTGTTCTGATTGATATATTCCTTAGATTTTGATTTGATTATACCTTTTTAAGCCTTCTTTATTAGTAAATTTAAATCCTTTTGGGCTTATTTTTTACTCAGCTATAGGGTCTCTTAGCTTTTGATTGTCTTAAACCATCACATATTGGAGATATTTCTGAATGAATAATTGTTCCAGGTGTTCCTATCGTGGCGACATGGTTGCTTTTTGGTTGTTGATAAATAAATCAAATACAGACTGGAAGTTTCTTTTCACTTCATTGTTGGGAATTGTTATCATTCAAATTTGTATATCAATGCAGCCTTGACTTACTACATAATTTTTGCAATTTTAGTATATATATATATTTCTCCTAAGCTTCTTTGTTTAACAAACAACCAAACTTACAAATAACAGAGAGGCATACCTCTTTAGAAACATAAAAGAATTAAAAAAAATCCCATTTCCAAAAGTTAGCTAACAGCAATAAAAGAAAGGAAAAGCCAGCAAAAGAATTAGCAAACCACTCTTATAAGTTATAACACAACCACCCAGCCCATCTCTAAATACAATAACAATCATCAAAATCCCTATAATCAGCACGTGAAAATTCCCACCAGATCCTGTAAACGCATCCCCAAAGTGTCAACCATATTCCAAATGACCTATCGTGCAACTTTAGAAGGAGAAATTGAATATCATGATGAACTCTTTTGATTCCTAGACCACATTAGGTGCCAAATGTTGAATGTAAAGGTTAATCTCAGAATCTACCCTTCGAAAAAAAAAAGGTTAATCTCAGAATCTTACTACCTTGTGAATTAATATATGACTGATTGTTGAACCATTTTACAAGGTGATCAAAACTCTGCACATTGTTCCAAATTCCAGTTAAATAGATCAGCAATCCATTTCCAAGTCTCTTTATCAAACATGCAGTTGAAAAACAGATGTTCCCCAAGATCAACATCCCTCATACAATTGTGACATATAGGAATGACACAGATACCTCTGTGCTACAAGTTTGATAAGGTGGAAAGTTAATTCTGCAAAGCCAAGCATTTAGTCACACTAGCTGCTGGTCTTTCCGCATTTCAAATTAACTTAACCCAATACTTTCTAGGAGCGTCATTCTATAACACTTCCAGAAAGACTTGAAAGATGCATTCCCATGCTTCCAGTTGATCAAATCTGAACCTTGTCTAATAGGAATATTAACAAATAAATTCCAAATGTCAAATTATTTCTTCAGCCATAAACCTTGGTTTACACCATCTGCCATTTTGGATAACATTTCTAATAGAGGCTTCTTTCTTGAGATCCATCTGCCTGATGATCCTATAACCAAAGAATTGCAACAGATATTTACCCTCCCACCAAGGATTTAAGAATAACTTCAAGTTTTGACCATCCCCAATCTGAAAGTGAACTGTATCGGCCATGAATTCTCTGACTTCAAGAAGATGTTTCCGGAACATGGAATGAGATTGTCTAGCAACACAAGACCAAATAGATCCAGATTTGACATAAAGATTTTCAGCCAAGGAATCCACATGCTGCCCTTATCTTGAATCAGATCCCAGAATAAACAACACTTAGCAGCCCAGTCCATCTCAACCACCCTCCTAATACCAAAAACCCCCTCAGCCTTTGGACAAGCTACTCTATTCCACTGTAGCGAATGGAGTTTTTTGGATTTCATATAGCAGCCACGAATGAAATTTTTTATTAATTTTTTCAATAGCATGGATAGTTGCAGCAGGTAACTTAAACACAGCAGCGACAGCACTCCAATAATGGATGATTGCATAAATCACAGCTCGAATTTTTTTCTTGATAAGTCATAAGTCACGGCTCTAATTAATTCCAATCTACCTGCTAAGGATAAACTGAGAGAGCTCCACCCATTCATCTTAACAACAAATTTATCAAGAAGAGCTTTACAATCTTGATGTTTCAAATCTCTACTCATTATAGGCAGACCAAGATATGTCATGGGCAAAGAGCCACATTTCATGTTTAAAGTTCTGCACAGCACCTTTTTCCTTATAACAGATTTAGAAAATAACATTCTTGGCTGATTTCACACTAGCTTTAGAGATAATGAATAGGTCATCTGCATAAAAGCAGTGAGAGAAAGCCAACCCATCGTCATTACAATAGCAAAAGCCTCCATTATTCCCTTCATTTGCAATCGTAGAAGAGAAATATTCAGTAACAAGAGTGAAAAGGATGGGAGACAAAGGGAAACCTTGTCTCAACCCTCTTTTAGGTTGAAAATATCTTGCAGGGGAATCATTTATCAAAACAAAAAAATGATGTGGTAAGACACTCTCTGTGTAACATTTATGGCATGTAACATTATATATATATATATATATATATATAACATGCCATAAATGTTACATTCTCCCCAACTTTAAAAGATTTCGTCCCCGAAATCAAGACATACCTGAGGAAGAAAACAATTCTGGATACTTGGAACGAACCTCCTGTTCAAGCTCCCAAGTAGCCTCCTCGACTCCGTGGTGTCTCCAAAGTACTTTCACCATTGGTATCGTCTTGTTCCTCAACACCTTCTGTTGTGTGTCAAGAATTTGAACTGGTCCTTCCTCGTAAGAAACATTCTCATCAATGTCTACATCAACCCAACTCAAAATGTGAGATGGATCCGGCTCGTACTTCCGTAACATCGATACATGGAAAACATTGTGGACCCTATCCAACTGTGGTGGCAAAGCAAGTCTGTAGGCAACCTCTCCTACACGGTCCAAAATCTCAAACGGTCCAATGAATCGTGGCGACAGCTTGCCACTTTTCCCGAATCTTATCAATCCTTTCTGTGGAGAAACCCGAAGAAAAACGTGGTCTCCCACCTCAAAGGATAACGACCGTCTCCGCTTATCCGCATAACTCTTCTGTCGGCTCTGAGCTGTAAGTAACCTCTGTCTTATCAACTTAATCTTCTCAGTAGTCTCGAGTACAATGTCAGGTCCTAAGGCGGCTGTCTCGCCTACCTCAGTCCAATAAACAGGAGACTTACAAGGTCTACCATACAACGCCTCAAATGGAGCCATCTGAATGCTTGCCTGATAACTGTTGTTGTAGGTACATTCAATAAGTGGAAGGTGATCCTCCCAACTACAACCAAGTCAAGCACACATGCCCGAAGCATATCCTCCAAAATCTGGATAGTACGCTCCGACTGACCGTCAGTTTGTGGATGGAATGCCGTACTCAGGTGCAACGTTGAGCCAAACGCTGCTTGAAGTCCTTCCCAGAACTTCGAAGTGAACTTAGCATCCCTATCTGAAACAATGGTTACTGGAACTCCATGCAACCTTACAATCTCCTTCACATAAAGAACACCAAGCTTCTCTGCATCATCTGTTGCCTTAATAGGCAAAAAGTGAGCCGTCTTGGTCAATCTGTCAATGATGACCCATACGGACTCATTGCCCCTTCGTGACCTTGGAAGACCTGTCACAAAATCCATAGCAATATGCTCCCATTTCCATTGCGCTACAGGTAATGGTTGCAACAAACCGGCTGGTCTCTGATGCTCGGCCTTCACCTGCTGACAGGTAAGGCATCTAGCCACAAACTGTGCAACATCTTTTTTCATCCCGTTCCACCAATGCTGACGTCTCAAATTGTGATACATCTTGGTACCACCTGGATGAACTGCAAAGCGGGAAGTGTGAAACTCCCGTAAGACGTCCTCACGACAAACAGTAGGAACCACCAATAAACCCCTGAACCGTAGACCCCCATCTGTATACAAAGCCCAATCTTTCACTGTCTCACCACTGGATATCAAAGCGTGAATGGCATCTAAATCCGGGTCCTGTCTCTGTGACTCAATCACTCGTACAACAAGAGTAGGCTGAGCTATAAGACTAAACAAGAATGCCGGCTCGCTGTCAACATCATCATCAAAACAATACAATCCCATCTTTGTCAAATCCTTAAGCATCTTCCACTTTCGAATAACCAGACAGGCCAAAGTTCCACGAGATTTTCGGCTTAAGGCATCTGCTACCACATTTGCCTTGCCCGGATGATACTGCAAGTCAAAGTTATAATCTTCCAAGAATTCAACCCATCTTCTCTGTCTATTGTTCAAGTCCTTTTGGGAGAAAAGGTACTTGAGACTTTTATGATCCGAGTACACCTCGAATCTTTCACCATACAAGTAGTGTCTCCAACACTTCAAAGCAAACACAAATGCCGCCAACTCCAAATCATGAGTAGGGTAGTTGTACTCGTGAGTCTTCAACTGTCGAGACCCATAAGCCACTACTCTACCATCCTGCATCAACACACACCCTAAACCATCACGTGAAGCATCACAATAGATCACATAACCCAAGCCACGCTCAGGTATCACCAACACTGGAGCCGTAGTCAATCTTGTCTTCAATTCCTGGAAAGATGACTCACAGGCTTCATTCCATGCAAACTTAATCCCTTTCCGGGTTAAACGGGTCATAGACGCTGCCAAACGGGAGAAATCTTTCACAAATCTCCAGTAGTAACCCGCTAGACCAAGAAAATTACGGATCTCAAACACATTCTTGGGTTGCTCCCAATTCAAAACAGCTTCAATCTTTGATGGATCAACAGACACTCCGCCTTCTGAAACAACATGTCCCAAAAACTTCACCTCTTGTAG